TCCCCTTTGAGCACCTATCCTCTCTTTCCTTGTCCTTTCTACCAGAGGTCACCTCTCCAGCTTTCTGTCTGTAGTTAAAGCAGAACAAATGGAAATGTGTGGGATCCAGCCTTGAGCAGAGGCATGGACAAGCAACAGGTGGATCTTGCCCAGGATTCTTATTGACTCAGTCATAGGTGCTAAACCTTATCAGTTGGGACTGCACTTAAATTTCCCATTTCTATTTCATGGCTGTTTTTGGTTTTGTTTTTTGGTCATCCAAGATAAGCAGAACTAGCTTATGAAAAAAAAATCAGAGAATATTTCTTAGAAACTGAGGAAATTCTGTCTATTAAGATTTGGGAGAGCTGGGATTGTGGCTCAGCGACAAAGTGCTCACCTAGCACGAGCGGGACCCGGGTTCGATCCTCAGCACCACATAAAAAAATAAAAGCATTGTGTTGTGTCCATCTACACCTAAAAAAATAAGTAAATAAATATTAAAGAAAAAAAGATTTGGGAAACTAGAAGGCCCCCACCATTGTAGTTTTTTGCCCAGAATAGTTTTAGTTCACAGATAATAAGATTCAAAGGCGCAGAATCAAAAACAGTGTCCCGGTGAGAGAAATAACAAATATGGGCCTTGCCTCTGTCACTATTGCATAAATTTAAGCCAGGGCTATCACCCTGTAGCCCACCATGGAAACTCTGAGGCTTTTATGGGATAGATTTTTCTGCCCTTCTGGAACACTGAAGAGCCCCATGCTTCCCCATTTTTCTGAACCCCTAAGTGGGAAGGATAGTGAGGGACCCATCACTAGCTATATATACCATCCTGTACTCTCCCAGAATGCCATAGTGTCAGCCCAAGAAATAAATAGGTTCTATAGGCAGTGCTTGTGGGGAGAAGAGATCACTACTGTGTTGTAGCCCCAATGTCCATCCATGCCTGTTGTTTTCTCTTTCAGCTTCGGCTTCATTAACGCCAGATTTCTTATCTCCAGGAAGTTCAAATGTCTCTTCTCCCTTACCTTGTTTTGGATCCTCATTCCACTCTACAACTTCCTTTGTCATTAGTGACATCACCGAGGAGACCGAGGTAGAGGTCCCTGAGCTTCCATCAGTCCCCCTGCTTTGTTCTGCCAGCCCTGAATGTTGTAAACCAGAACACAAAGCTACCTGCAGCTCGTCTGAAGAGGATGACTGCATCTCTCTGTCCAAGGCCAGCAGCTTTGCAGACATGATGGGTATCCTGAAGGACTTTCACCGGATAAAACAGAGCCAAGATCTGTAAGTAGTTGACAGGGAGACCTAGTTTCCTATTTAAGTTGCCCGTGGTGATTGGATGCAACATACTTACACAAGTCCTCGGTAGTAGCCATTATGTCACTGGTTCATAAAGCCTGCTACATGGTTGCTAGTGCTGGGACCCCAGTTTGAGGAAGGAGCAACACTTCACATTTTGGGTTTAGTTGCCCCCAACCAAATGTTAGACTAGTGAGAATTTTACAGAGAAGCTCATCTAATCCAACTTCTGTCTCTAGGTGGCCTCATCATTTAGTTTTCATATTGCTAAGTAGCAGTGTTTCCGGGTCTCAACATCAGACTTAGGGGTTGTATGACACAGTAAAACTATAGATAGTCTTGGTGCAAAGAGAATTTGTAAAAGTCAAGGATTTCTGCTTTAAAAGACAGTGGTCCATAATGCAAAAGCCCTTGCAAGTACAAGGCTTTTGAGATTCACAGGTAGTTTCTAAACCTGTAATTGCTCAGGTTTGTTAAAAATACACCATAAATTTACCAAAGCAGAATCTCCAAGGAGTGGAGCTCTTGTTTCTGTGGGAATATGCTGGAGTCTGGAGAGGCCACCTCCAGCCCCCTTGAAAAAAAGCCCTTCCAGTGTCTCCAAGTATGGTCTGAGCTGCTTGGAGCTCATCGGATCCTTATTGCCAAGTCCCTCCTCCCACTTATGTCCTGGGATTTTTTTCTCCTTGTAATAGAAGAAGCTAGGTTGATGACTAAGAATGAGAAAGAAAGTAGCCCTGTCCACAAGAGTTCAGAATTATGATAAACCAGTCATTTACTTTTAAGGTTTAATGGTGGATTTTGCCCCTTTTATATTGCCTAAAGACCAGTAGAACACCTTCGTGAGAATGTATGGGTGAGGCTGGGGTTGTGGTTCAGTGGTAGAATGCTCACCTAGCATGCGTGAGGCACTTGGTTCAAACCTCAGCACCACATAAAAATGAAATAAAGATATTGTGTCCACCTACAACTAAAATAAAATAATAAATATTAAAAAAAAAAGAATATATGGGCATCACTACATGATATAGCAGGTAATTTGAGTCTATCTTAGTCTGGTCCCAAGAGTTCCTTATGAAATGTGAATTTTTTTTCTATGATTCTGAATCTCATTAAAGTCTCTCTCTCAGCTCCCCTGGGGGGAGGACAAGGTAGTAGGCAATCTTTTTTTTTTTTAAGAGAGAATTTTAATATTTAGTTTTCGGTGGACACAACATCTTTGTTTGTATGTGGTGCTGAGGATCGAACCCGGGCCGCACGCATGCCAGGCAAGCGTGCTACCGCTTGAGCCACATCCCCAGCCCTAGTAGGCAATCTTCAACACAACTTTTCCTCAGAACTAACAAGTCAGAATGGCCAAGAGTCATCAGTTCCTTCCCCTGTAGACTCTTGGGACAAGCTACTAAGGAAAGATAGGGTCATAAAGTGGGAGCCGAAGTGTAGCTACCAGAGGCCAGTGATCCTTTATTTTGCCTATACTTATGTATAGGTATTTCCAGAAGTAGTACAGCCTTCTAATTAAGTGAGATTGGGAACTAGCAAGGTTGGTTTTAAAGTGTGGATTCATCACTTGTTTAATGACTACCAATGACTATAGACAAACAGCATGCCCTTCTGTGCTTCATTTTCCCATCAGTAGAGGGGACTTGTAATGGCAGCTGCTTCACAAGATTGTTCTGAGGATTCAGTGAGATATTGTGTGCAGACACAGAGCAAGTTCACCCTAAATACAAGCTATTGTTGTCTCTCTAGGACCCGGAGTTTAATGAAGGAGGAAGACCCTGCTGTGCTTATCTCTGAGGTCCTAAGGAGGAAGTTTGCTTTGAAGGAAGAAGATATCAGTAGAAAAGGAAACTGATGGCACTCCACTCTGCAAACTCAGTCTCATGCTCCTGGAATTCCTTCAATAGCTGCCTTCCTCACCACAGATGTTTCTGCCTCTCAATACAGTCTTGCTGACAAGCTAGATCTTGGGCTGAAAGAGAAGAGCTGGATTATATGTTTTCCATTTGAGCTGAGACACTTGTTTCAGGTAGTTGTAATATGGTGGAGTCTCAGCTTAAGGGGAATGAAAGAAGTTTGTTTTTCCTTGTCCCCGTGTGAAAATAGGACCTAAATGAATGAATGACTTCACTGCATTAGACCCCATAACTGGTCTCACCAGACACTTTGTGCCAGCTGTCACTTACTCTCAGCAGCTTTCTTGCAGCAGAGCAGGGCTGAGGGGAAGGGGCTACAAGTGTTTATGTACATGTTCACAGGGCAGGGAAGATCTTATGCTGCTCCATCATAAACCTACACCAATGCCCAGCAGTCACACCTTCCTTGTCTAGATGTAGAGTTCAGGCCACTGGTATAGCCAAGACTTGGGCTGCTATTGGGAGGCCTAGGCTATTTTTTCTTAAACATGTTTTATAATACTGTACAACCAAATCTACCCTCCAAGGCCCTGAGGCCTCATCACTTCCACCGACTGAAAACTTTTCTTCCACGGACTCTAATAAGTCCAGTAGTTAAGAGAAATGGGGAGGGGAAAGAGCATACCATCCTTTTAGGCCCTTGGCTGACTATTCCATTGAATTGGGCCAAGGTACATACTTAACTGCATCATGCATGCATGACTCAGATGCCCTCGGGGCCCTTTCTCTAGGTATGTATACTGTGTGTGTTTGGGTTGAAACACTAGCTGATATTAAATGAAGGATTTGGAGAAATAGTACATTTTCTTTGTCCATCTCTGAGTTGTGATTATCCAGCATCCTTTAAGGGTAGAGGATTTCTATTAATTTTAAGGTACATGAACTTTCTTAAACAGGCTCCTGGCTTACTCTTTTTTCTTATAAGGTCCTGCACTTTAGTAAAAGTAAACTTCCCTAGGAAGTTTCTTTCCCCTTTATGGAGAGATTTTGCCCTAAACTCTTAAAAGCAGTTCCATCTTATACTTACAGGTTTGCCCCTAGAGGTTGTTTAAGCCTCAGGTACTCTACCTGCAACATGAGAAACTGCCACCTTGTGGACTATGCTTTGGGTAAGAAAGGGCCAAATAAGACCTGTTCAGGGCAATGACAGAATATATTAAAAACTTTCTTTTTCAAAAGTAAAATTGGTAATGTCTTAATTACCACTTGTTTTACACCTTGTGAAAGAAGAGTAACAACAGCTACATCTAGGTTATATACATCACACTTTTTTTTTAGGGGGACTATTTAAACAAAGTACAGAATTTGAATATGCTGTATAACCACCACAAAAATAAAATAACAAAAAAGACTACCCCCATCCGGTTGGGGAGATTTGCCTTTTCTCTCAAAATAGTATCAGGAATGGACTAGGAACAGAGCTCAGTGGCAAAGCACTTGCCTAACGTGTGTGCAGTCCTAGGTTTGATCCCCAGCACTGCACACAAAAAACACACACCCAATCAGTCAACCAATAAAAAGGTATCAGGAATAATGGTTCCAAGCCTAGGTTGAATGGGTACAATTACAGCCAGAAATGAAAAGAACACGCACCCTTAAGAAAGGACCCAGTTGAGCATGGGAAAGGGCAGAGGTGGTTCCATACAGGTTGACTAACAGGCTCTTTAGTGGAGGGATAAGTTCCTCCTGTGCCTCCTCAGTGCTCACCACACTCAGAACTCTAGTCTACCTTCCTGAGGGAAAAGCATGATACCAGTCTATACTGTCTCAACCCGCTTTATTTACAAAGAAATATACTCAACACTCAACCTGCTTTATTTACAAAGAAATTACTCAACACTAACAGTTTAATTAATCCCACGATACTTTCCCACCTAAATCCATACTCCCCTCATCCACATTTATAAGATATTTTTCTACAACACTGCCATTTCAAGGTGCTTTTAGAACCAAACCCTCATAAACATTTAGAATTGGTGCCTGATAACTTGATTCCCTTCAGAATCCTGGGTAAAGAGCAAGTCAGGCTCCAGATTGAACTGAATGGTCCCATCCTGGCACTGAGCTGGAGAGCTGGTGGGAAACTGCCCTGGGCCCCGATTCCAGGCACTGGTTAAATCTTGGAAAGGCACTCTAGTGTCATGGGCAATGACTCGCTGTCCCTGAGAATCTTCAGTGAAAAGCTGACTCAAGGAATCCTTATCAATCTTCTCACTCTCCCAGGAAAACCCAGAAAGGAGACAAGGGCTTTGTTTCACTGATTCTGTTTTTTCTGTACTCCAGGACTCCCTGGAAGTTTGAAGACACACAGGGGCCTGCCTGTTTTCTTTGGCAGACATCTTCCTTTCCAATTTAGCTTTGTCCAAGAGCTGATGGCATTTGCCCCCAGGTACTTTGATGTCTCTCTCCAGGTCCTGATAGTTCTTAGATCCAAGAAGCCATTTCCTTTTCCTGAGAGAATCCCTCTTTCCTTCCTTTGGGTCCAGCAAACAAGAACTTTCCAAGTCCTGGGTGAAGGAAAAAGCCAGTGAAGCATCATTCTCACCAGCAGAGACAAGGGTGGCAGGTTGGGGCAAAGGCAGCAGAGTTAAAAATGGGGTTCCCAAACTGTGGTGGCCAGAAGTCTGCAAGGATAGAGGAGAAAGTGCAGTTTCCTGGATATCTGCAGGGGTTGAAGTGGCCAAAGGAGGTGTAATGTCATTATCCCTCAAGTCCTGGATCAAATGGTCTGGCTGGGTTGTATCTGTCTTGGACTTGGACTCTTTGTTGATGTGACTTTCTATGTGAGATGAAACACTCCTCTGGTTGCCACCATCTGTCATTCCTAGTAAAACAGGAGTGGACAGATATTATAATGCAAGAAAACTGCTTTGAGCAGGATTTAATTGGCTTTTTCTGCAATCAGTACCAGGCACTATTACCTAGTGCAGGGATCTTATTTAGATTCTTCAGATAACTTTGTGGCTGCTTTTAATCTCGCTGTTCTTTCCTGAACAATCTAAACCACAGATTTTATATTCCCGTACTCAAATATATGGATGTTCCCCATGACCTATACGTACATATATATATACATCAGACCACAGCCTATTTTTCCAGCTCAGTTTTTGTTCATATGGTGTGCTTAATATAGGGCATATTAGAATCCGAGCAGCTTGGGAGGCTGACGCAGGAGGATTGCAAGTTCAAAGCTAACCTCAGCAACTTAGTGAGGCCATAGTCAACTTAGGTAGTAGCACATGCCCTTTGATGGTTTATACAAAGCAATCCTGAATCAGAGAAGATTCCTCCCAGTGCCCTCCAACTGGTAGGAACCCCTGCTCTATAAGCAACCTGCTCCAAGATGGCTCTCAAGTACATCTTTCCCCACTGTTGTGTCAGTGAATGCAAATATTTGTATTAAACTGAAAACAGAATCAGAAAAATATATTTGTAAAAACATGCATATACTGCTTTTCAAAAGGCAATAATTTCTTATTTTATAACACAATAAGTCAGCTAAGTTGGTTTCACATCTCATAAATGCTGCAACATGGAGTAATGAACATCTTCCTTTGTGCTCCCTGGATAATGAAGTGTTGCCATATGGGTCATCATACCTGGCTGCGAGGTGAAGAAGGAAGCAATGCTGGTCTGCCGAACCTCTACAGACGGACTTTTTCTTTGAGTAAAGGAAACACTAGGCTTTCTCTCTCCAGGAAAGAGTGTTAGCATTTTGGTGCCTGGTTTGATTAAATGTGTCTGAGAAGGGAAAGAAAAAGAAAAACATAACCTATTAAAAGAGCTGTCTGACAAGCTCTTTTAAAGAGAACCAAGAAACACCAGTGACAATACTGGACCCCAAAACATTTCCAAATTTGATGGAAACTATAAACAACTATCACAGATTATCTTCTTCAAAAACAACCTGTGGAGAGCCATTCTCACACGTGACTGGGCGACTCCCGGTTTGGGTCTGAGGCGCTCTGACTAATCTGTGTCGGAGCTTTCCCGGCCCTCTCCTGATGAGAGAACCCGTCCATGTGGGGGTGTGACTGACCACTGACCCCGGGGGCCAATCACTGACCCTGAGCTTGGAGTGCACCCACCCCCCTTCATTGGATGGAATTCTCCCCTGAATTTCTTGTTCCCCAATAAAAGGCTACTCCCTGGCGTGCTTGCTCGCTCTCTCTCCTGCTAGCCCTGAGTAATCCTTGCTGCCCTACAGGTGGTTCGAGGTTGGAGCCAGAGAGGGGAGCCATCTCGGACCTGGTCATAGAAAAAGGTAACTGAGTCTGTGTGTTTTATTTCGATCTCTGCTAGCTAACTTTTATGCCAAGAACCTCATTAATGAAACCAATGCGCTGGCCGCATGGTGGAACAGCCTACACAAGATCTCCCATTTCACATGTTCTTCAATGTGACCATTACACTCTATACTCTTCCCATCAAGTTCAGTAGTCTAGATTCCCTCACCTTGAACTTGTGATTACCTTAGCCAATAAAATATTAAAGAAGTAACACTACATGATTTTCAAAACTAGGTCATAAAAATACCATGACTTCTCCCTTGCTCTCTCGAGAAGCTCACACTTGGGACCATCCAACATGTTAGGAAGACCAAGCTGGCACACGCTCTTTAAATTTTATGAGAATCACATTCTAGATACGTAAAATAATGTGAAAAATACACAAGTCCTTATATGCTAAATATTGGGAAGATAGTAAACAAAACAGATAGTTTCTTCCCTAGTAAAGTTTACAGTTAAAAATACTCTTAAAATATTTAAATTACTATACATATGCTAAGTCGCATTAGGAAACTTCAGAAAACTACAGGTAATCAGAAAACAGACCTCAATCACCAAAGAATCTAAAAATAAATCTTTTTAACCAAGTTGGCCATACTTAGCAGGAGCTAAAGGAAGTCCCTGCCTTTTTCTCCGGTACTGAAAACCCTTCATGCATCCTGTAAGAGCTATGTGCCAGTCCCTACTAATGGCGTCCACCGTCCTCCTTCTGTGCCTCAGAGAAGGGCCCTTTTCACACCTAACCCTGCAATATTTCCACTAACCCCCAAACATTCCTAATTCCCACAGCCATATGCAATCTCTTCTTCTTCTGAACACACCACTTATACCCTAACAAAATCTTAGAATCAACATTTGATTCACACACTTTTTTATCCTATTCTCCTCATGACTTAACATTGCTTAATATACATAATGAGATGCAGTAAATATTTTAGGAAGAAGGTAGATATACAAGAAGGATAGGTTCCAGTTTCCATTTTATATACACCTACTTGCTACATTTTTCAGTGCATCAACAAAGCTGTCAGTAAACACTAAGGCTTTTCTCATACTGTGAACAAAGTTAAGATGAGCTCCTGTCACAGTAATTGATATAATGCATAAGGTCCAGAACAAAGATGGGATGGGAGGTACACCCACTGAAAATTGTGAATGTTTTCATTACAAGTAATCTAACAAGAGAAAATTATTACACTTCTTCTCTAGAACCACCTGGCACTGGTTTTCTCATCTAAACCTAATGAAAATTCAAAGGAGAGAAAAGCAAATTTCTTCTAACTATATCATAACTCCTAAATTGGAGATGTGATATCTATGCCTACTACCATTACTTTAAGTCTCATAAAAGACTGCTCCCTGCAATAAAATTTTCCTCACTTAAAGGGTGTCATGCATGGGTCGGGCTGGGGCTGGGGCTCAGTGGTAGAGCACTTGTATAGCACATATGAGGCACTGGGTTTGATCATCAGCACCATATAAAAATAAATAAATAAAGGTGTTAAAAAATGATGATGTCATGGGTCCCTGTAGTACGATGGATATACACTGAGTACAACTGTAGTGCAAGGATGTCAGAGGTCACTGCAGCACAATATTTTACCACAGCTACCATCAGTTTGGCCCTAATAAGCACTACTTATTGAAGATCTGTTTAATCGTCCTCTTATTGTAACTACTTCCAATGCAGCAATGGCCACAAGTGGTCTTCTCAGTAACAAAGAAGAAAAATTAATAAGCCAATGAATAAATAAGAACTATGGTCATTTAGAAGGAAAAGAAGGTGTCTCAACTGAAATGCACTGGAGGAGGAACCCCCGCCACTCTGGAACAATTTCCTGAATACTCCCTAGAAGAGGTCACATTGTTACTAGAAATATTACTGTATCTACATACAGTCAGCCCACGTTATCCCTGTCCTCCCAGTTCCCAAGTATTTATTTCAAGTCACTTTGTTTGTTTGTTTTTTGGTACTGGGAATTGAACCAGAGGTGCTTGACCACTGAGCTACATCCCCAGTTCTTATTATTTTTTATTTTAAGACGGGATCTCACTAAGTTGCCCAGGCTGGCCCTGAATTTGTGATTCTTCTACCCCAGTCTCCCAAGACACTGAGATTACAGGTGTATGGCACTGTGCCCAGCTTGTTACATTTTTAACTTTTATTTTTCTCTATGACCAATTCTCAGTACCAACTTCTGAATCACAAATCAGATCTGAAGAGCAAAGAATCTTTAAAAGGGCGCAATGGTGCACACCTGTAATTTCAGCTATGGAAGGCTGAGGCAGGAGGTTTACAAATTCAAGGCCAGCCCAGGCAAATTAGAAAGACCATGTCTGAAATAAATAAATACAAAAAGAACAAACAAATAAATAAAGAGCTGAAGACGTAGCTCAGTGGTAAAGCATCCCTGTGTCAAATCCCCAGTATTAAAAAAAAAAAAAAAAATGGGGTGGGGAGAGACACACAGATAACTGCATCAAAGCCATAGCTTAAAAACATTTAAAGGCTGGGGTCGTGGCTCAGTGGTAGAGTGCTTGCCTAGCATGTGAGAGGCACTGGGTTCGATTCTCAGCACCACATATCAATAAATAAAATAAAAATCCATCAACAACTAAAAAAAAATTTAAAAACTGGAGGGATGTGCCTTTATATGTCAGCTCTGACAAGTAAACTCTCGTGTGTATCTCTGGGGGGAAAAAAAAAAAGTCAGGTACAATGGCACCCAGCTGCTTGGGAGGCTGAGGCAGGAGGATCATGAGTTCAAAACCAGCCTCAGGGAGCTGTGGTTGTAGCTCGTGGTAGGGTACTTGCCTAGCTTGTGTGAGGCACTGGGTTTGAGCCTCAATACCACATAAAAATAAATAAATTAAATAAAGGTACTGTGTCCATCTACAACTAAAAATTAAAAAAAAAAAAAACAGCCCCAGCAACTTGCTGAGGCCCTAAGCAACTTAGTGAGACCCTGTCTCAAAATAAAATATAAAAAGCCCATTTGGGTCCTTCTTGAGGATACATACATTTTTAGATTTATAATTATACAGACTGGTAATCTACTAAAGATTAGTAATTTTTACTAGTCTGAATTAAGCCCTTGTAATTTCTAACCTCAACTTCAGCAACATTCTCCAAATTCTTCTAAACAACATTTCAGGGTACCACATATCTTATATAACTACCATTGGATTAATTTCCTTAGAAACAGCTCTCATGTCAAATGGCTTCCATGAATTGCTGGGAGCCATTAGCCAAGTAGGTATGACAATTTCCTTGCCAGTGTACCCCATGTTGCTTAGTGGAAGGACTCGTGGAAATAGGACATTTTGCAGTGACATTGCAGGTAGGTGACCTTGCTCAAGGACCAAGGCGGATCCGAGTTTAGGGCATTCCCGGTTTAGGTTCCAGGTTTAAGGTTTAAGATTATTCCTGCTGGGAATAGGGCGTATCCTGCTGCCTGAGTTCCCCTTGAGTTCTCACGGGATTCAGACAGTATTATTTGGGAGACAGAAGCCCAGTGGGGTGGATTTGGGCAGAGAACGTGGATTTCCCCAGAACGTGATTGTAGACGGCTGGTGTGAGTTCGGGAATAAAGAGTTGCTGTTTGAATCTACAAGCTGTGTGGTGGCTCATGATTGTGTGCCCAGCCAGACTGCGGCATTTGTGCCCAGCCAGACTGCGGCAATGAATTTCCAACAATATGGCACAACTTTAGCCTCCTGATCTAACCTTCAACTCCCCTACAAATAAATAACCCACACTCAGACAAATTGAATCACTCTCTATGTAGTAAATCTTACCTACAGAGAGAACTGGCTCCTGAGAGGTAATTTCAAATCCTTAGAATGTATAAAATCATGAGAGGATAGATAGATAGATAGATAGATAGATAAGATAGATAGATGGATATAGATATATAGGTATAGATATACTTTTTAAATTTAATCCTGGATATGCAGAATCAGTTTTACCTCCACAGGGGCTAGAAACTAAGGTCAGCCATGCAAGTAGGTCAGCCACACTTATATGTCCAAGCCACAGTAAAAACTTCAAAAACACAAAAGCTCAGATGAGCTTCCATGGATAGCAGGACTCTGTGGACTGTCACAAATTATTGCTGAGAGCACTGGCAGCTGTCCAGTGCTTGGCTGTGGGGAACAAGCAGTGCTAGGGATTGGAAGCTTCAGGTTTGGAAATTCTCCTAGACTCTGTCCTATGTACCCCGGACATTGGCTGATTTTCATCTGTATCACTTTAATGATCAACTATAACCATAACAGCTTTCAGTATATTCTGTGAGTCCTTCTAGAAAATTATCAAACCTGAGAGTAGCTTGAGGACCCGCAAACCTTTTTGGTGTCAGAAATAAGGGTGGTCTTTGAGACTCCCTTTGATTTTCCTTCACAAACATCCCTTGTATCTCATGCCTCTCTGGCACAATTCATACTCTCCCA